AGTTTTTTATAGATATTTTATTCCAAGAAAAGATGTTTTAATTAATTTAACAAAAAATGCTAAATATTTTAGTAAATTTGAATGTAAATCAGGATTTTGGCAAATAATGCTAACTAAAAAGTCCAAATCTTTGATAGCATTCAGTGCTCCTAAGGGACAATACCAATGGAAAGTCATGACTTTTGGTCTCTATAATGCTCCTCAAATATTTCAAAAATAGATTGATTTTATTTTTGAAAAATATAAAATTTTTATTGTATTTATATTGATGATATTCTTGTTTTTTCCTCATATTTAGAGCAACATAGGAAACACTTTAATTTAATTGCCTAAGAATTTATTAAACGTGGTATTATTTTATGCCCTAAAAAGATAAAGCTTGAAAAAACTGAAATAGAATTTTTATGATTAAATTTATCATTAAATGGTCTTATGTTACAAGATCTTATTATTGTTAAAATTAAAGATTTTCAAGAACAACCGGAAGATAAAAAACATTTACAAAAATTTTTAGGTTTTTTAAACTATCGAAGACAATTCATAAAAAACTGCTCTAAAAAAGAGAAGACTTTATAAGAAAAATTAAAGAAAAATGTTCCTTTTGTTTTTGGACAAAATAAGATATTGATATTATTAAACAAATATATATATCTTTATTTCACATAAGAATTCTTTTGCAAGATTTCAAAGACAAAATAGTGTTAACATTCTTATTTTTCTAAGTGATAATACATTAGACTTGATCCCTCAGTTTACAACTCAATAAACTCTATTCTAAATTCTGTCTCTTCTAAAAACACTTGAAAATAAGAAAATAAAAGCTTAGCAATCATCATTCAATACAAAATTCGAGATGATGAAGTTATTACTTTTTCTAATAATTAGCTAAAAAAGGCATTATAATTATATAAATGCAAAATTTATGTTCAAAAAGTATAATCCATATTCATTGCATTTCTTATTAGATACTGGAGCAACAATATCTAGTTGTAGAAGAAATGCATTACTATTAAACAAATGGGAATCAATGAAACATCATTTAGCTGTTATTGGCATACATGGTAAAGAAACCATCATAAGTTTTAAAGCAAAAAATATTTCCAAATATATTATGAATAAAAAATTCATAATACCAAAAATTTTATATTTTTCTTTCATGCATGGAGATATGTTATTAGGAAATAATTTTTTATACAATTATTTACCATTCAGTTTAAATCCCTTAATTGTTACACTCACTATAGATAAAGAATATATATAAATTCTTTTAATAAAAAATCACAAACATATTTGTGATTCAAAATTTCAACATGAGGCTAAGAAAGCTGAAATCAAAACAATTAGTAAAACACACTAGTTATTCAAAATCAATAATATTCCAGAACACCTAGAAGATAAAAAACATTTACAAAATTTTTAGGTCTTTTAAACTATAAAAGACAATTCATAAAAACCCTATCTAAAAAAAAAAGATTTTACAAGAAAAATTAAAGAAAGATATTCCTTTCTCTTGGACAAAATAAGATATTGATATTATTGAACAAATAAAATCATATATCATTTATATACCAAAAGTATATCTTCCCAAAATATGAGATTTATTAATTTTAGAAACCGATGCTTCTGATAAATATTGGGGATATATTTTAAAAGCCAAAGTTCAAAACAATGAACTTATTTACGGATATAATTATGAAAAATTCAAACCTAATGAAATTAAATATATTATTTTTGAAAAAGAGTTACTTGCTATAAAAAATGCAGTAACTAGATTTCACATTTATTCAGCTCTAGATACTTTTGTTATCAGAACTGACAATCATGTGATTCGAGATTTTAAAAAAAATAAATAAATAAACGCTAATCAAAAAAGGATTAGATGAAATAATTTTTTATGTCAATATAACTTCAATATTGAATATATTAAAGGAACTAATAATGTTTTTGCTGATATTCTTAATAGGCTAGATGGATAGAGGTAAAAAACCTCTTGAACAATAAGAAGAATGGAGAACCATTTGAAAAAAGTAACCTAAATCCCAGGTTTCTTCTACTTCTTCTCAAAATCCTAACCTAGCATTTTGACTTATATTATATCCTTAAGGATATTATTACTAGCCTCGACCATATTTCTCAATTTCACAACCTTTATTACAATCAATAATTGAGCCTTCTCAATATCCAAATATTTCTCAATTCTTTCAGATCCTATTCAATGGACTCCTATTTCCTATTCTCATATTCTAAAACAGATTAAGGATTTATTAAAACCAAAACCCTTACCTTTGGATATAAAAGATTTTTATAATTCAGGAATCTCTCTTGAATTATATAATCTCCTCAATAAGACATGAAAATCCCATATAATCGAAAGTAAAACCAGGAATGACAAAATTAGCAGAAACCTTAGCTAACCAAGTAAAAGATAATGCTTATTTTGAAAAACTTGTTTATAACAATATATGCTCAGTAAACTTGCTAAAAAAGTAAGATCTTGATTTCTTTGCGGTTGACGAAAATTAATAAACAATCAAGGAAACAAACAATCTCCTTGAAATCTATGAATTTTTTGAGAAAAACCAATTCTCTCCAAAACTAGTAAAACTAAGGAAAGTTTTACTTTTTGAAAAAGTTGCAATTCTCTTACCTAGAGAAATCTTTCAAAGAATAAATAGTACCTTTCTTCTTGCAATAGAAAAACTAATACAAAAAAAATTATCTAAATATTACCATTCCTTATATCTTGAAAATTCAAAAATTGAAGATCCATATCAAAATATCAAGTTCAAATTGGATCATGAACCATTTGATATAACCAGTATCGAAATTGGTATTGTAAGCCAAATAGTTGTACAAAATTTTTCTTTTTTGCAACTAAAATAGTTCCCAGCCTTCATAAAACCCAAATTTATTGATTTTGTAAAACATGATCAATATTCAAACTGTAATGTAAGATTTACCAATCTTGTTAAATCAATCATATGAAGTATATAGTCTAATCTTGTGTTAAAAGCTATTTGGTTTAAAGTCAAACCAAATTATTTTATTTCTATTAATGACCCATTAATAGATAATTGTCTTAGATTAAGGATAAAAATAAAAAATTCTGAAATTAGAGAAGTAGCACATGATTTATCTATAAATTGGATAGCAATTTATGAATTAACTAATCATGCTACTACTACTATTAAAGAAATAGATTCAAAAATTATAAAAAATTTTGAACCAAGATCTTATGATTCAGAAACCAAACCCAGATTAATGAATCTAAGAGACCTATCTGTTTCAACAGATTGGTTACTAGAAGATATTATAGAAAAAAAACTTACACATCGTAGAGTCAATTCTTTAGAATTTTTTGCATCAGGAAATAATCTATATTTTAAAAATTTTGAAGCTAGTAATTTTAGTAACAATCTAGTACTACTTTCATCTTTATCTATTCCATCATATTCTAACAAAAAAAATGAAGTTGAAAGCATTTCTAGTAAATAATCTTTTTATTTCACATAAGAATTCTTTTGCAGAATTTCAAAGACAAAATAGTGTTAATATTCCTATTTTTCTAAATGATAATACATCATACCTAATCCTTTAGTTTACAACTCAGTAAACTTTATTCTAAATTCTGTATCTTCTAGAAACACTCGAAAATAAGAAAATAAAAGCCTAGCAATCATCGCTCAATTCAAAATTCTAGACGTTGATGTTATTACTCTTTCTAATAATTAGCCAAAAAAAGCATTATAATTATATAAATGCAAAATTTAGGTTTAAAAAGTATAAACCATATTCATTGCATTTCTTATTAGATACTGGAGTAACAATATCTAGTTATAGAAGTAATGCATTACTATTAAAAAAATGGGAATCAATGAAACATCAATTAGCTGTTATTGGCATAGATGGTAAATAAACCATCATAAGTTTTAAAGCAAAAAATATTCCTATATATATTATGAATAAAAAATTTATAATACCAAAAATTTTATGTTTTCCTTTCATGCATGGAAATATGTTATTAAAAAATAATTTTTTATACAATTATTTACCATTCAGTTTAAATCCCTAACATTTTTGTGATTCAAAATTGCAACATGAGGCTAACAAATCTGAAATAAAAATAATCAGTTAAACACATTGGTTATTCAAAATTTTACAAGAAAATTTTAGTGAAAAACCACTAAAATTATAGTCTAGCAGTCCTTGCTTTTGTAGTCTACAAATTATTGATTCTAATAAAATTATTAGAGTCAAACCAATGATTTATACCGAATAGGATATAAATAAATTTAATATTTTAATTTTTGAACTTTTACAAAAAAGATTAATAAAACCAACTAATAGTCCACATTTTAGTCCAGCTTTCATGGTAAAAAACCATGTTGAGCAAAAAAGAAAAAAAAATCCGTATGGTAATTAACTATAAGAGGCTTAACCAAAATTTTGTTTTTGATGTATATTTTATTCCAAAAAAAGATGTTTTAATTAATTTAGGAAATAATTCTAAATGTTTTAGCAAATTTGATTATAAATTAAGATTTTGGCAAATAATGCTAATTGAATAGTCAAAACCTTTGATAGCATTCAATGCTCTTTAGGGACAATACAAATGGAAAGTCATGCTTTTTGATCTCTGTAATGCTCTTTAAATATTTCAAAGATGGATTGATTTTATTTTTGAAAAATATAAAATTTTTTATTGTGTTTATGTTGATAATATTTTTATTTTTTCCTCAAATTTAGAGTAACATAGGAAACACATTAATTTAATTACTCAAGAATTTAGTAAACTTGAAATTATTTTAAGTCATAAAAAAAAAAGCTTGAAAAAACTGAAATAAAATTTTTAAGGTTAAATTTATCATCAAATGATTTTACATTACAAGATTTATATTCACCGTCACCCATTTAATTAAAAGACTATTCTGTAATTTAAAACAATTGTGGATATAAGTGTAATTTCAGTAAAAAAAAAAGGATCATTTAAAAAATACCCAAAATTTGTGGCCAGGTGAAATTTGAGAAGGGTATAAAATCTTAAACCCTAGCGATCACCGAAAAACCCTCTGTTTTTTTTTTTTTCGTCCCCACTGCAAGTCTTCTATTCTTGATTAACTCGCCAAAAGCATAAGAGAAAGAAATGGCTCGCACTCTCAAAAACCCAAAGAAGGCTAAGAGAAAGAACAAGGTTCAATTGCAAAAACCAACTCTTAATCCATTTTTAAATTCAGCTTGAATTTGTTTTTCTTTTTGCACTAAAATTGTTTTGTAATTGGTTTCTTAAAAAGGGCTCAAAGATAGGAGATGGAGCATCAACGTCTTCGTCGGTGCCGACGATTCAGCCGAGGGTTTGGCAACCAGGAGTCGACGAATTGGCGGAGGGAGAAGAGCTTCAGTGTGACCCTTCTGCTTACAATTCTCTTCATGCTTTTCATATTGGATGGCCCTGTTTGAGGTATTTGTTTTATTTTATTCATTTCTTGGTGTTTGGTTGCTGAGTGAGTAATGGGAAAATTGAAAGAAATAGTAAAGGTTTATAGAAAATATAAAAGGTATTTGAAAGGCGCTTACTTTATATGTTTTTGGTTGTTTTGTTTTATTAGTTTTAATTGAGAAATTTGATAATCTTTTACAGCTTTGATATTGTTCGTGATTCGTTGGGTTCAGACCGGAAAGATTTTCCGCATACAGTGTATTTTGTTGCAGGGACTCAGGTGAGCTTTCATTTCTTATCAAGTGTTATGTGTTAGCTGATAATCATGGGAGCAAAGGAGCAAAATCTGTCTTATCTGGACCACTCTGAGGAAATAGTTTATTTTGGTCGACTATGAGTTATGTTCATTTGATCTCTTATGGTCATGTTACTTAATGTTATTCTGTATATTGATCTTGTTTTTGATTTTGCAGGCAGAGAAAGCTTCTTCTAACTCTATTGGAGTGTTTAAAGTAAGTAATGTTTCGGGGAAAAGACGAGAACTAGTTCCTACCAAATCTGCAGGGGATGATCCCGATATGGATGCTGAAAGTAGTGATAGTGAGGATAGTGAAGATGAAGAAGAAGCTGGATCTGGCGCACCAGTTTTACAGGCAATTTCTTGATTCTTTTAACATTTCTAGTTATATTATCTCCGGGGTTTATTGTTAGACTTATGTTGCTCCTTTTTTTTACTTGTTTAAATCTACAGTTGCGAAAGGTAGCTCACCATGGATGTGTTAATCGTATACGTGCCATGACACAAAGTCCTCACATATGTGCTTCTTGGGCTGATAGTGGTCATGTTCAGGTCAGAGTCAGATTCATAATCCAAATATATTGTTCACCGTTAGCAATTTTAAATTTAATTATTAACTAATTGGCCAAAAAATGAGTTATTAACTGAAAAACTATCAAAAGTGAGGAAAAGGAGAATTGGGTATGGTGGGGACAGAGAATTTTGAAGAATAGGAGTAAATCCTGTTGATACTTACAAGAAACTATGGGGAAAGGAAATTCACCATTTAGCTTTCAATATCTTTTGCTCCCTTTTTTTGCTGGGGGTGGGGTGGGGGGAGTAAATCCGGTTGATACTTACAAGAAAGTGTAGAAAAAGGAAATTCAATGTACCTTTCAATATCTTTTGCCTTTTTTCCTCTTTGTCTTTTGTGAGAAATTAACTGTTTGTTTTCAATTTGCTTTTAACTTATAATTCTAATACATTTAATGATTGGGAATACTGGTATATCTGTGTGTCAAACCAGGGACATAATCGTTTTCTTGTGTTACTTTCTGATACTGTTTGTTGCAGGTATGGGACTTCAGTTCTCATCTGAATGCTTTAGCAGAGTCAGAAACCGAAGGTGTCCAGGGAGCTTCTTCAGTTTTTAATCAGGCTCCTTTAGTTAACTTCCGTGGCCACAAAGATGAAGGCTATGCAATTGATTGGAGTCCTGTTGTTGCTGGAAGACTTGTAACTGGTATTTTTGAGTAATAATTGTGACAAATTGTCTTTTTTCTTCTCATTTATTTTAAGCTGTCATTTGCTTTATGGATTGAAGATGGGCTATTTTGAAGGTGATGGTCTTCATATTTTCTAGGGGACTGCAAGAACTGTATTCATTTGTGGGAGCCGTCATCTGGTTCAACATGGAATGTTGATCCTACTCCATTCGTTGGACATGCTGCAAGTGTGGAAGACCTACAAGTGCGTAATTTTGTTGTGAAGTAATGAATGAATTTTTTTGAAGTCCAAACTTATGGTTAAACATTGTTTGCACTCTCTTGATCTGGTAATACCATTTTTCTTTCTACTCTTTATATGCAGTGGAGTCCAACAGAACCTCATGCATTCGTCTCCTGTTCTGTGGATGGGACCATTGCTATTTGGGATATCCGTTTAGGGAAGTCACCAGCAGCTTCTTTTAAGGCACATGATGCAGATGTGAATGTTATCTCATGGAACAGGTATTTCAGTCTTGATATATTTACCTACTCTTTCTTTTAACACTTTTCTTTTTATAACCAAACTTTTGACTTTGTGCATCCTTGATTCTTTATCTAGGCTGGCTAGTTGTATGTTAGCATCGGGAAGTGATGACGGGACATTTTCAATTCATGATTTTAGGTTGCTCAAGGTATGCCTATTATTGCCTAGGATAGGGTGATACTCCTTTTGATGAAAAAGGAAAACCTTGGATTTATACATTTGTGGGCTATTTTTGTTTATCTTAAATGTGATACATCTGCTTTTTGAAGATTCTTTCCAGATTCATTAGAGCTTCTTTTGCAACCCATTCTGCTCTTTATATTATGTTAGGCTGGAATTAAAGTTCAAAGCTTTTACTTTCTAGTTCCTAATTTTCTTTTCTAACAAACTCTATCCAAGCCATTGACTGGTTTACTGTTGCTATTACTGAAGGTATTGATCTAGTTTTTGTGTGGGCAGGACGGAAATACAGTGGTAGCTCATTTCAAGTACCATAAATACCCAGTGACATCCATTGAGTGGAGCCCTCATGAAGCCTCCACTTTGGCAGTTTCATCATCTGATAATCAGTTAACGTAAGTAATCGTAAAGCACTAAACAAGGCTAACAAAATTGATGGACCAGATCCCAGGAATAGGATATTGGACATTTGAAGATCTCTCTCACAATTTTGTTAATTGATATATGTTTATTTAATTTTCTTTTTCTTCAATTTCCAGAATATGGGATCTTTCTTTAGAAAAGGATGAGGAAGAGGAAGCAGAGTTCAAAGCTCAAACAAGGAAGCAAGTAAATGCTCCAGAAGATTTACCTCCGCAACTTCTTTTTGTTCATCAGGTACTTAATCAGAGTACTGAAATTGAAGATGCTTGCTGGCTTCAATCTTTTAACACACTTTCCATTATGAACAGGGGCAGAAGGATTTGAAAGAACTTCATTGGCATGCTCAGATTCCTGGAATGATTGTGTCAACTGCAGCAGATGGTTTCAACATCTTAATGCCTTCAAATATACAGAGTACTCTCCCCTCCAATGGCTCTTGAAAAATGTCTATGCTGTAACGAATGAACCAGCAGCTGATTTGAGGCATATATCCGTACATGTGTGAAATATAAAGTAGTTTTTTCTCTGTTTCCCCCCTTGGTGCACAGCGTAAAAATATCGTTGCTCCCAAGGTTTTTATCTCGTCTTTTTTACAACTGCAGGGTGCTTCCAATATTTTATTTTGTGTATTTCACAGTATCATGTTTTATGAATAATCTCAATCACCTAACCATTCACATGGATGAAGAAATACTTCTATTTAATGAAAAAAATTTTGGCCAATATTAATTGAAACGTTCATAATAACGTCTTTGTGACTTTTAATATATATAGATAGATTACCTGATTTTGATAAAACAAAATTCAAAATAGGGAATAATTGATTCACGCTTATCTGCCTACATCTGGGGGAGACAGCAAGTGGCCACAGGAAGGTAAATTAGAACAGTATAGGAAAAAGAGTGCTATTACCAAAGAGCAAAGATGCAGTTTATTGATGATTTTGCCAGGCCTAAAAGAATCCGTGTACACAATACGACATAAGGTCCAGCAAAATCCAGCTTGACCTGGCATCACTCTATTGACTCATCAGTTTTCACTTAAACCAGCCTGACTATCATCAAGGTTCAAAAGTTTGACAAAATTGCATATCACCATTTCATTCGGTTATCCCTATGAGTTTACAGGCTTTCCATTTAATTTGGGGAAAGGATCTTGCTTGCTTAAAACAACTACTTTACTCTTGTGAGCAAAGTACCCTTTCACAAGATTTTTGTATATAAGAATGGTCATTATACACTCAACCTGCAAAATGGAACAAAGAGAATGGTGAATTCTCATAAGCAATGCAACTGCAGGGAAGAATGTAATGGGAAAACAAGTACCTCATCCAGATCCATGTCCATCTCAAGCCATTTCAATGCTTTGACAATTACATCCAATTTTAACTGATGAGCTTTGCTTGGGTCCTTTTGCTTTTGGATGAAGTAACTACAAGATGAGAATGTTGCAATCAATGTCTGAGCAAAAACTATTCAATTAAATAGCATACAGGGTCATTTGGCCTGAGCTCTTACATTTTCTTTACCAATCTCTGGTAAACTTGGAGCTCTAGCTTCTCTAGAACAAGATACACGCCAGATCTCAAAAACCTGACCAATGGGGAGGAAGATTCAGACCCATCTTGACATGCGAATTTCACTAACAACAAAAACAGGAAGATAAACTTACTGGTCTTCGTGTTCTTGGAGAGCATGCCGAAGAAGTCGGAGATCACCCCTTTTTAGAGCTTGTACAACATTGCTGTACTGTGAATACAACCATTGCTAATTACTAATTTGACATGTTGAACCAACAATAAATGATTTTTGAAAATATTTGCAATTTGCCCTTTTATTTGTCTGATTTTCTTTGATCCTTTCACCATTAAAATCACAGTATAAGTGCACGTTCACTGGGAAAGTAGCATAAGCACAAAGCATCTACTTGTGCATAAATACTAGATAGAAGGGCAAATAAGTACATATAATAAAGGAAGGCTGTACCTCAAGGAGGTTATACTTCTCTAGGAGCCAAGCTTTGGGCAAGATGCCTAATGAAAGCTTCACCGGTATCAAGTATTTTAATATCATCCTACAAAAATCAAACCGACGGTCATAAGAATCAAAGAAATACTAAAACTTAGATGTAGTTGCCACTCTCATGTAAGAGTTTAATGCAGAAGTAAGTTTATGTGAAACAACTTGCTTGACACTTTAGCATTTTTTTATCCAGACAACGTCTATGATGAGGTTTTCAATATAGTATTTTGTGTCATTTATCAACCTCTAATGTCAAAGTATTCCCACTCACTTAACCCCGTACTCCACAATGGTAATTTTTTAATGCATTGAAAATATAAATTACTCTTCAATATTATCAACAGAGCACTTTCCATACTGAAAGTAAAAATCAACTTTATCAGCAACTATTTCAATACTGAAAGGAAAAATGAACTTTATCAGCAACTAGATCTGAATAACTTTGATACTTATATATAACAAAATAAGGGCACCAATGGTAACTAGAAAACTCATCAAAACAAGGGACAAATACTAGTTGAAATGGGATAAAAGTTGCAGCATGTGTTTGGGACTGTTACATACCAAGAAGAGAAATTTCACCTAGTAGTTATCAAGTGCCACAGTTGATGTCAAAACGATCAATGCAGAGATAATTTTTAATCGATCAGTTCTTATGGTTTCTCTACCATGCAGAAAAAGCACACACAAACAAACCTTATATTTGCTTCTCTGAGAGGGTTGCAATGTGTCAAGGCATATGATAACTTATGCTCGGCCTGCCCAGTTACAACAGTATACGGTAGAAGTAGTCAGTCCCTGTTATACTGAATTTTAACTTTGATGCTTTTACATGTATAAAATGGATATGGAATTCAAATGCTATGCAATTTGGATTCTAGTTATAAACTAGGTCTAAAGCCAAAATCAATGATGATTCCAAAGCCAAACACGACAAACAACCACATATAAAGTTTTTAATTTCATATCTCAAAAAGAAAGAAGCAAAGCTTTCTCCACAGGATTTAGATCACTTACAGCAGGAAAATTTTCATTAAAAACTTCCAAACGCCCAGTATAATACATGTAGGTGACCTGGACAAGGAGGTAGCATTCATCAAATAGTTGCATGCATGAAAAATACCAGGAGAAGGAAAACGCTTCGTTCAAATTAGACTTACCTTATCTCTTCTAGGAAATTCCTCAAAATCAAAAATACGAGCAGTTTCAATACTTCTTATGACACTTCGGCAGAGGTGAACTGTACCAAGCTGCCAAGTAAAAGTTAACATTAATATCTAGCATAGCCACTTGTGCTTCTCAGTTCAAAAAAGAAAACATTCATAATGATGTTTTAACCGAAAATTATTTGCATTGCTTTTGGTAAGCATGTTGGAGGAAGAGGAAACAATATCCTAGGCAGGAGGCTGACATAAAATCTTAAATGCTTCTTAACCTCAAAAAAGTCAGGTCCTAAGTATACAATCCACTTGCCAAAACCAAACTCATGATAAATATAGAACAAAGAGCGAAAAGCTTCTAGCAAAGCAGAAAGCAAAGTTAGAAGAAGCATAAATATTACCTTGAAATAGATTTTAAACAGCTGGCAAGTCACATATAGTGCTCCCACACGTTTCGGGCCTTTTCCCTGGAATCCACACGTCATAGCCAACAATTAGCAACAATGGCTATTAGTTCAGCAAATGAAGCCTAAAAACTTGATAACAGGCCAATAACAAGTATTGGGAAGATAAATAAACATACAGCAAGAACACCAAATACTTTCATAAGGAATGAGCCAGCTCCCTTCAATTTCTCCGGGGACTTTCCATTAGAAGCCAACTCTCTATCAGCCTACAATTACAATATCCCAAACTTAATTTGCATCAAAACCTAATTTTCTTTGAAAAACCAAAACTACAAGGTTATGCTATCAATACCCTCTCTGCAAGAACCCTAATTTCATAAGCAATAACATACAATGCCTCCAATGCCCATGCTGATTCCCAATTCCGAAATTCCTGAATAAAAGCACTGCCAAAACAAGATTCTAACCATTACCACAATGCATAAACATCTCTAATCAATCAAAAAGACTTTACAAAAATATCTTTAAAAAATAAAAACAAAAGTGGAAAGAGCAAGTTACTTTGCAAATTTTTCAAAAGCATGGTAGGAATCAACCAAGTTTCCAAGCCTATAGCTTTGCAGAGAACGAAAAATAGGGGCCAAAATCTCACCAAACTGTGAAAACTTATCTGATTGCTTTATCAATCGATTAGCATCCTATCACAAAGAAAAAGAAAAAAATCAAAATTTGACAAATTTATTTGGTTTATTGAACAATATGCAGATGAGAATCAAGAGGATGAGAGAAAGTACCTGGAAGTAGTTGAGGGCATCAGCAAGGGAAAGGAGAGAGGGAGAGTTGGAGGAGAAGGAAAAGAGTTGCGCAAGGGAAGCTACATCTTGGTATGAAACGGCGTCGGAGAACTTGTTTAGGTAATCTGTGATTCTTCTATGGGCTTCTCCCATGCTTGGATACGCCGTTGCTCCACCAAGTTTGGATTTTTATTAACCAATATATATATTTTTAATAAATAGCCTTTTTGATCCACTGATCTGCTCCTTCAGCTGTGGTTTACGGGTTTTCAGTTTCAACCTAGATTCTCTTTTATACCATGGAAAAAGACGATTTTTCCATCAGCTAGGAGGATTTGGAATTTGACATTTAAAACGACGACGTTCTAAATGTGGGGCTATCAAACTTTACAGGCGGCCTACAATAATTGTGTTATTGGACCCATAATGCATCAGAGACGCTATGTGGACAGTAAAGAAATTGTTACCGTTCGATCAATCTCCGGCGACTTGGATATTCCCAGTAAAATACGTTGTAAGTGTTTTTTTTATCGTCAGCTGCACTCGATTGGTCCACTTCACCTTAACAAACAAAGACTTCCTTGGGTGACTTGCGAACCAACCTCGTTGAAACTTGAAACACCTCAAATTCTTGCATTTTACTCTCCGATCTACCGCTCATCATTTCACCTTCACGTCTTCTTGATCTCTCTTTTCTTTATCTCCGAGGCCTTGATTTCACAAAAGCTGTGGAGAAGGGAGAAGAAAGAAATGATGGGTTCTGATCCATTGAGTCAAACAAAGCCAATACCAATCCCAACCCAAGAAGAAGAATCATCAAGCCAATCCGCAGCTCTCCTTTCTTTCAACACTGATTCTTCTTTTGACCCTTCAGCAAAAGAATCCTCTTCAAAGCCCAGCACCACCATTATCTTCATTGCTTTAATACTCCTCACTTGCATTGCCCTTTCTGCTGCCTTTGCCTTTGCTTTCCTCTTTTACTCTTCTTCGTCTTCTTCTTCTTCTTCATCACCTGCCTCTTCAGCTACAGAACACAGCTTGTCTCGTCCTTTGAAGAAACTGGAAAAACCGGTGGTTCTTTTGGTTTCCTCTGATGGGTTTCGATTTGGGTACCAATTCAAGACCCCGACACCAAACATCCACCGTTTGATTGATAATGGTACTGAAGCTGAGATGGGTTTGATTTCGGTTTTCCCGACTCTTACTTTTCCTAATCATTACTCCATAGTTACTGGCCTTTATCCTGCTTATCATGGTATTATAAATAACCATTTTTTGGATCCTAAAACTGGTGAGTTTTTCACTATGGCAAGTCATGAACCCAAGTGGTGGTTAGGTGAGCCACTTTGGGAGACTGTGGTCAATCATGGGTTAAAGGCTGCTACATATTTTTGGCCTGGAAGTGAGGTAAAAAAGGGTTCTTGGAATTGTCCTGAAAAGTTTTGCATGAACTATAATGGTTCTGTTCCTTTTGAGGATAGAGTTGATACTGTTTTAAGTTATTTTGATTTGCCTAGTAGTGAGATTCCTGTGTTTATGACATTGTATTTTGAGGATCCTGATCATCAGGGTCACCAGGTTGGACCTGATGATCCCGAGATTACTGAGGCCGTTGCTAGAATTGATAGAATGATTGGGAGGTTGATTGATGGTTTAGAAAAAAGAGGGATTTTTGAGGATGTTACCATAATTATGGTTGGGGATCATGGAATGGTTGGTACATGTGATAAAAAGCTGATTTTTCTTGAGGATTTGGCCTCTTGGATTGAAATTCCGGCGGAATGGGTTCAGTCTTATAGTCCGTTGCTTGCTATTCGTCCACCTCCTGGTTATGCACCATCAGATGTTGTTGCAAAGATGAAAGAAGGATTGGAATCTGGGAAAGTTGAGAATGGGAAGTATTTGAAGGTTTATCTTAAGGAGGAGCTGCCTAGTCGGCTACATTATGTAGCAAGTGACCGGATTCCTCCCATTATAGGACTGATTGAGGAGAGTTTCAAGGTGGAGCAGAAAAGAACTAAGCGAAAAGAGTGTGGAGGATCGCATGGGTATGACAATGCAGTTTTCTCCATGAGGACTATTTTTATTGGTCATGGACCTCAATTTGCAAGGGGGAAGAAGGTGCCATCTTTTGAGAATGTTCAGATATATAACTTGGTAACTTCAATTCTCAAGATACAGGGGCCCCCGAATAATGGGTCTTCAGCATTTCCTGTGTCTATTCTTTTACCTAGCCAGTAATAATTATCTCATAAGCATCTCCTAAGAAGTGGGCAGGATAACAACTGCAAAGCTAAATGACTATTCATCCGTGCAGATAATTGTGCAATGTGCATTCATGTATGATGAGGATGTGCAGAAGAAGGATATTATTGAACTTAGGATCCTTTGATATTGTTGAGTTATAGATGTTTGTACTTTGTATCCCTCTAGTTCCTTGGCTCCAAGTTTCATGTATATTAGCTGCACTATGTCATCTAAAATTCATATTGCTATTCTGTGCAATGCTACTATGATATTTTAAAGGTAGAATCAAACTACATTGGAAAAGTGCAAAGTATTCTGGCATTGTTCTCTCTGCTTCTGTCCCCTCCTTGGACAAGGCTTAGGTTGTTCATCTTTTTTAGTGTCTTTTTCTGGCCCATACCTTGGATTTTGGCAATTGGGATTCACAATTAAATTGAAAACAAATAATTTAGAAGCTAGTTGCTTCAATATATGCTCAGTCTTGCCTGGACAGAATATTGCCAAGCTTCTTGAGCTTTGATTTTGTTCTTACTTGCATCATTCGTTTTTGTTTTGTGTGATCAATTGTATCATAAGATTCTTATAGCAAAACAGATTCTAATCTTCTCTCTGTTACTCTGAGCAGTTTGTTCTCGGGGTATAGGCAAGGTTTTAATGAGCTGCTTCATTCTTATTGGAAACAAAAAAAGGAATATTGAATTATAGGATCTTCTTGGAATTTATGCATTATAGGAGTGAAGATTCTTTGACATGGAAGTGATTTCCTAAGATTTTTCAATGACAAAGCTTGGAATCTTTTAATCTTTTAGGATGCACTAGGTTTCGCCCTATTTTTAACTTATTCAGCATGATTTACCTCTGTCATTCCTGTGAGGAACGAAGAAGAGTTATGGTACTGATGTTTGTCCATTTAGCTCTTAAGCATAATTTACCTGGGCCATATTCAGTGTTTTATTGATTTATTGTTAAATTCAGAGATTCTTGAGAATGGGTTTCTTAATTTTTTTCAGTGTCTCCATATATGTTTGTTACCTACGGAGTGCAGTGCATAAGTGGAATGATTTGCATGGTTACACACTGACTTCAGGATTAGGTCTTTTTGTGGTGAGCTGGAAGCAAGAGCGGGGCATAAGTGTGGATTGGCATTTGAATGGCCAAAGGGATAGATATAGCACTTTGTTATTGATATATTCTCTCATTAAAACTGATGGAAGATGTTAGAGCGATGTTTGGTTTAAGAATTAAGCATAAACTGATTAAAGAGCTAGAGAAGTTTAAGTACTCTTAGGCAGTCTTTGGAGACCTCTCCTCCTCGTTCAAATTATGCTTTTAGCATATGCTCATGGCATTTCTTTTGCCAGCTTTTTTTTTTTTTTTGGGTGTTTTTCTGTTTTTAATGATATTCTGCTTTCCCCAATAAAAAATAGATAATTTCTCATGGGTTTTTGTTAAAAAGTATGACATGAATCTGAGTCACGCCTGGACATAAAGAAGTCGGTTTGTTGATCATTTATTTCGTTGTGAGAGCATTTGTGGTTCTTCTGCCATTGCTTACTTGGATGTCAAATATCTCCACATCTTACAGGTTCTTTAAACGTTGAAATTCAAGTTGATGCAAAAAACCAACTGTAAGACAATTTAAGCATAAGTTTCCTACGATTTCATTGTAAAACAATCTGACTGCGTTACACATCAATAACACTTGATTTAATTGAGTTGAGGAGTGGCTTAAGGGATCAAAGTTCTTAACAGAAGTTCATGCCATGATTAAAAAGTAGTTCATTTCATTTCTGTTATCGAAAATGGAAAACAAAAAGGTCATTTGAAAGCTTTTTCTCTTTAGAGAGAGTAAAAAAGCTGATTTCTTATATAGATATATATATATATATATATGTATATGTATATATCCTCTCTTCTAGACAGCATGCCAAATGAGTTTCTGTTATGTAAAATTTGAGACTAAAGGAATGTTTTAGATTAAACCCAAGTAGGATTCCATCTGAAACAGATATTGGGATATTTAAAGCACCTTGAAAGCCAACCAGAAGATGAAGAATGAAATAAGGCTGCACTTTTGCAGATACAAAATCATTGGTGAAGAAGACATATATAACTGCTGCTTTTCATGTATGTATTAACTAATCGATGTATAATTCCACAAAAGATTTCACCACCCTGTAATAAGCTCAAATATTGCTTTATTCCCAGGGCAATAAATGACAAGGAAGAGGCAGGTGCCTACTTTTCTAGCAAAAGCTGTTGACAGCTTTGCACAAAGTGCCGAGTCCCGCCACCCGCCACCCACCACCACCTTGGAGAGCAAAAACCCAGGCCATATATTTTTATTTTGTCACGTTTTTTAAAAATCTGAGATTCTGAAATGAAGTCTGGCCTCACAAAATTTGTATCTTCCCAGAATCATCCTCAGAAAGGTACTGTTCCACGTGTTCCTTGCAAATTACACACTAATTTCGTCAAAGCTTGAGAGCTAGATATTTTCGGATGTCCATTTCAGGTTTGGAAGATAGTAAATTGGAAACTTTGTTGGTTCAGTACTTTTCCTCCTTTTTTTTTTTTTTTTTCCAATGCAACTTTGGAGGTTCGTGGAAGAGAAAGAAACAAGTTTCCTTCATCAAATTTGATAGGCTGGACGATCATCCATCTTCACTTGGCAGTTTCTGTTCAGTCTCAGGTTATGTCAGAGGGGAAATTCCATTCTACTATTGCCCTTTTACACTTTAGAATCTTCTTCTCCCCCTTTGAAAAACAAAACCATCTAAACAAATGACATCGTGTAGTAGGATGAAGGAAAGTTCATATTTCTAGAAATTTATTTATTTGTTGGATTTTTTTTATTAAATATGCTATCAATAAAAACCAAATTAATCAAATTTCTTAAAAAAGAATCGAAGCTGACTGATTTATTTTTAATATTCCAAAATAAATGAATCGACCTAAATTGATTAGTTTGATCCTTTCCATCAATAAATCAAATTTTTTACCATCAATTTTAAACAAGAAGTTTGATATAATTTTCACTCAATAAAATCCATATTATAATTTTACTATCAAATTCATATTCACCGTTTTTAAAAAATATTTTATATATTTATATTACATATATACTATATTTAAAAGTATATTTAAAAATCGACTAATTCATAATTTTAGAAATAAAAAATTATTTGAAAATTAAATTAATTAAATTGATTTAATAAAATTCAATCAATCAAATATGTTGGAACCAAGTTCTATTTTTAAGTACTTTAAAAATAATTTAACCTAATTTTATCTTTTTAACTAAAAATAATAAGTTTGGAGATGGTAATCGGCCGACCGGTCAAAGATTCTGAAGAAGCCGAATCCAATGAAATTATCAAAGTGCAACTGAAACTCATGTTCTGTTCAAAATTCACACTCTTTCACATAACATAAACTACCAAAATACAGAACAAAAAAAAAAAAAACACTACCAAAAATAGAGGCTTTCTTTCCCTTTGCCTTTTCGTGTATGACAGTTTGACCTTCTCTTTTTCTAATCAAATTCTTATTTGTTTTCCCTTTTCACCTATATAAATAAACAAATCCCACGAAAAGTTCCATACTATTTTATTAATAACTATTTACAACACAATTTTCATTCATTTCAGCCTCTCTTTTCTTTCTTAAGAATCTCTGTTCTCTAGACAAGATGGCAGGTGTTACTAGATTATCAGCATCATCGTTTCATTCTTCTTCTTCTTTCTTCTTTGTTGCTTACCTCCTATGCGTCCACGTTGATCTCTCGACAACCGTGCCTTCCTCCCAATTTTAATTTCGATAGGAAAAGTTGTTCTCTGTCTTCTTCTGTTGCTGGCGTTTCTCGCCTTCCTTTGATTTCCAGAAAGCAATTGCTCTCTCTCAAGGTAAAGGTTTTGCATTTAATTCTTGGGTTTTTTAAATTTATTATATTTGCATTCATCAGTCAAATTATGAGGACCCATTTGTTTAAATTGTTTGTTTATGCGGTTTTGTATGAAAATTAGGTGAATGATGCTCAGTTTCCTTTGAATTTTGCATTTTTACCGTTGTCCTTTTTTTTTTTAAATACTTGAGGTTGCCATGATTTGACTGTCTTGCTTTTTTTTTTTTTTTTTTTTTCAGTTTAATGACTATTCCCTGATTTGCTGGCCCTTTTCTGTTGCGTGTCATAACAATAGATTTATAAACTATATATCATTCCAGCTACAATTTCCATCTTAGGGCTTTTGTCAGGAGTTCCTTCACTTTCTTACAATGATTTGTTTGAATCTCGTCTTGTTTGGATCAAGACGTTGAGTTTTTGTCTATCTACATGGTTTGCAGTAGCCATGTCATCGTTATAAGTAAGCGCATGAAACCGCAGACAAATAATTGGAACACAATTTCTGACAAATTTTTAAACTTCCTTCTCTTGTTTACCAGTTTTCTCATCGGTGCCTTTATACATGCTTAAAGATCTGTCAGCTTATTGATGCTTGTGCACCAGATTTTTGTGGGTCAGATGCGAATTTTCTAAATTCTTTTCATCATTCCTGCTGAATTTTTTTACTAACTGGCAATTCTTTCTTTAAGAGCACGTAAGTTTTGGGATGGTGATATTTTCTGGCACATTAACTAGGTAGTGCGAATCAATAGCTACCATTATGGGGGTTAAGCATGTGTAATTGTTGATACTATAGTGCACTTCTTTTTCTGAAATTCTGTGCTGAAATTTCTGAGTCTCTCAGACCTTGCAATTTCATTTGACAGCTTCAATCGATTTGGACTTCTTTTCATCATTTATAGCGAAGCTCATAGCATTCTCACTTATTCATTGTTATTATGGATCGCATTAGAATGAAATATGTTATAACTATTGATTAAGTATGAAATATTTTCCTGCACATATGGCTTCATCTCGTCATCCATGGCTGATAGCATTCACTTATGGTCATTTGTGTCAGTCTTACTGTTAATTAAATATGAAATGTTTTCCTGCACTGAACTTTACTGGCATTTCTCAATACTACTTGTAGAAACTTTTGATTAGTTTCCTATGCATGATATTGAGAGCCATTAATCAAGTTTTTTTATTGCAGGTGCATGCAACTATCACTGAAACGAACCAGCCCAAATGGTGGGAAAAGAATGCCGGGCGAAATATGATTGACATTCACTCTACTCAAGAATTTTTGAGTGCCTTAAGCGAAGCTGGCGATAGATTAGTTATTGTTGAATTCTATGGAACTTGGTGTGCTTCGTGCAAAGCTTTATTTCCCAAGGTAACTCATTTCCTTTTTTCACCACTATTTCATGTTTTCTAAGACTTCCAAGATCAAAATAAACTTTTGTTGTTGGCAAAATTATGCTCATGATTTCTTCTATATGATTTATGCATTGGAGAACCTTTAAGTATCTCTTGAATAAATATAACATTCTTGCTAGTCAATAACATGATGAAAGATAAATAATGACTGCTAACTGCCAAGTGGGCCTATTTTTATCCTAAGTTTCACTTGGTCTTGGCTATTTATATAAATTTTGACAATTGTTAAGGTGGTCTACATGATATGGTGGATGCTTCGGTTCTCTTGGGAATTGGGATATTAAGGCCCTCCTTTGTGAGGAAATGTTGGTGCAGAAAATCTTTCTTTAAGAAATAAAATATGCATTCAGAAAGCTTACTGAAGCAGCATAAAGCCTTCAATGTATTCATAACATTTGACCCTGAGAGATCCACAAAAAACAATGGATCTTGAAATTAACTGGAAATGGTGTGTCTGGTGAACAGATGGGGGATGCTTTCTAAATTATTTTTCCAGCAACTGCTGCCTACTGCTGGTTGAGTCAAATATATTAATTCATTTCCATGTCATAAGCAAAATGAGGCTTGCACTGCCTTCTTATGTCGCTTGACAGAGCAAAAGTTTATCAGTCCACGCTTACACCCACTCAAGAATTTATGCAACAGTTTCTCAAATCAGGCTAATAGCTGTTTTCTTTCAATGATTAATATCTGAAGCATTTACCTTTTTCCTCCTTTTGAAATTGCTGAAGTTGTTTCTGAACTGTGTTGAGTTTTTCCTGATGTTGCTTTGTAATGGATCTGGCAGCTCTGCAGGACAGCCCAAGAACACCCTGAAATTCTGTTCCTAAAAGTCAATTTTGATGAGAATAAGCCTATGTGTAAAAGTTTGAATGTTAAGGTGCTTCCTTATTTCCACTTCTACCGTGGAGCACATGGACAACTGGAATCGTTTTCATGTTCACTTGCCAAGGTGTGCATTTTATCCCTTTTGTGCCCGTGGACATATTTGCACTTGTTAAGACATTAAGTTGATCCCATTAGTTAATTGTTTCCTTTCGGCTGCTGGGAAATAGATAAAGTAAAAATTTTAGTCATAGAAGAACCGTAGGAATATTTATCCCAAATAAAAGCAGGGCATTTCCCATGAAAGAAAGGTTGAGGCATCAAATTCTGGTTTGAGAATACCTTGCTTGCTCAACTATAGGTGCACCATCTGAATCTTTCAACATTGCATAACTTGTATAAAACAGATATTAGAAGTACAAGGATTTTTTTTTCTTTTCTTAGAGAATGATAAAAGTATAAGGTGGATGCACAACCTTGAGGAGATTCATACTAAAAGACTCTTCTTCATGCTCATTTAGGCTTCAAAAGTCGCATGTATAGATGATCAATTTTCATAGGATACTATATCACTTACAGATAATATACAATATAAAATTATTAGTGGCTTAATCTTCACCTTCCTAATGACATGGTTCTTTTCCTTATCATCTGCAGTTTCAAAAAATAAAAGATGCAATTGAAATGCACAGCCAACCGCATTGCAATTTTGGTCCATCTAAAGGAGTTGGAGACTTGAATCTTGAATCTGTATCTGCTCCGATTGAAAAGCCTTCTGTGTCAACCTAAACATCAGATTCTTTATAAAGCATTTGTCTACCCTTGTGCATTTCCATGTATATTGCACACCCGGTAGACTCAGTTTTAGGTTATCTAATATTTTTGTATATTGGCATTTTTCATTGTAGAAGAATACTAAGTTGAAATTCTTAGCTTGCTTCATTCTTTTTCATTCTTATTCTGCCTGTGATATATGTAACCTCGAGATTCAAGTAGAAATCAAATTCCCATGTTTCTGAAATCTGAACCTTCATTGCCAGTGTTTTTTTTTTTTTTTTTTTGACGAACTACATCTGTATGGTATGGGTATTAAATATTAGAAAATAAAAGGTCAAAAAAAAAAAAAAAGCTTGGAAGTTAGTTTCCACTTTCAGCGAGCTTTTGGGTGTTTTCATCATTCACTTTCCTCACACAAAGCCACTATATCTCACGCGCCGCCATAAGCAAGCAGGTTTCAACATAATCATCAACTGGATTCAAATGCTTTTATGTTTTGTTTTCAAGAGGTAGAATCATTAAGGAATCAAATGCATAAAAACCTTTATGTTTTATTTTCAACTTTCTGAAGATGGTCAATATATCCATCCAATTCATTGAAGATGGTCAATGTATCCATCCAATTCATGAATGAAGAGTGGAGCAAATGTCTCATAATTGTATTTCATCTCAGTTTTCTGGCTACCACCCATCTCAAGTGCAAACAACTCAAAGGAATTAAATATTTTTTCCGTCACTTTTTTTCTCTATATTTTCTTTTATTTCTTTTATTTTCAATCTCAAGTTGCCAACCATTTTTTAAAAGCTCATGGAAATCCATGTTCTCATCATTTGTCATTTAGGAATTGCGATCTTCAAGAATCTATTAAGAGTTGTCATTTGTGTTAGTGATAAGGAAAAGTACTGGGAAGATCACCCTGGGCAAGCAGTGCCGCTCATGAAGCCAAAATTTTGTCGTGGGCCCTGGAAAGTGCTTCTAAGGTGATGTCCTGCCAGCTAATCAGTAATGCCAGAAGATCCAGTCAAGAAGCTATTGTGTCGTTCCTCCTATTTCACTTTGTTTCTGTATAAAACTGACAGATTTGGTGTTGTTTAGAATGCAGCTAGAAAACAATTACGGTGGCTTGAGGCGGTAGGAATGATGTTTGTCAATGACCAGTTGAGTTTGAAGATTGTTTAATATTTAATTGCTTCTAGCATCTGAGTGATTTACACGGGAGGAGCCTCAGTGCTTCCATGTGAAGACGAGAGACCGCTTCTTGAAAACCAAAAATCATATCATCAGTGAGTGTTTCATCAACCTAATATCCTTATTCATTATATTCAGGCTTTATTTTCCTTGTGGTTGTTATTCATGTTTTATTCCTTGGGTAAAAGTGGCAGGGAACCTGCTGCTTTTGATGAGTGTCAATCCACGTAAAGGCATTAACCAAATCTGATAGAGACTACATATAACAACTTGGTCAACTTCAGCCACAAAATGAGGAATGAAACCCGCCTAGAAGTTATATTTAGTTTACATTTAACATAGCTTACCTTAAATTTAGCTAATTATGTAGAACAGATTCTTCACTCATCTCTTCTGTAGCATTGGCTCTTGTCTTCCCTCTTCCTTAGCATGAGCCCCTAGCTCTTTGCAGTTCTAATTACAAAATGACAACATATGGAACTATTCCAGCAGAGTTGCCACCATCATCAAACTTCATTTTCCGCGCAAGAGAACAGATCCGATTAGGCCTTGGCACACGAAGACAATGGAAGGAGATGGTCAAGATTCAAGCTATAAGCCTCCCCTCCAATTTAAACGACTCAATACAAAGAATCCGAACCAATGCGGCATTTTTTAGGATGAACTATGTCATCATCATATTGTTTCTTCTCTTCATCACATTGCTTTGGCACCCTGTCTCTCTGATTGTCTTCATTATCATGATGGTTGCATGGCTGTTCCTTTATTTTTTACGTGATGACCCTGTATCAATTGAAGGCTTTGTGATTGATGATCGCATTGTGATGACGGGTCTGTTGTTGGTTACCATTGCCATGCTTTTCCTAACAGATGTGACAGATAATATCATAGTTGGCCTTTCTATTGGATTAGCGGTTGTTTTGGTCCATGGAATATTCAGAAGCACAGATGATTTGTTCTTTGGGGATGAGGAAGAAGCGAATAGATCGCCGGTGTTGATGCGCCCTGCGGAAGAAGCAGCACCTGTGCCATTAAAGAATGCTGCCTCCTCTTCTTATTCTGTGTCCTAGTGTTCTTTTGAATGCTTCCAATGCTGTTGTTAAATTATATATGTATCAGGGAAAAGTAAGAGATTCATTGGGGTTTAAGTTTTCTCTGTATAGTATATAATGCCTTCTTATTTAAGAAAATATTTTGTTGCATGAAATTCAATGTTTTCTATTAATTGGCATTAGAAGTGCCATAACTTTTGCTGCTTTGGAGCCTGAAAGGAAACCGATTGATGAACCAATTGTCTTGATAATCAAAATCAATCACTTTCATGTCGGATAACTCCTTAAAAAGTAACCATTTAAACATATGAGTGAGATTCATATAACGATAATTTCGTTTTCAGCTTCTATCATTCGAACAATCAGCCTTCCTATCTTAATGCGGCTTATTAAGAAGGATAAACATGGATAAGGTTAAGTCATTAATGGCGTCATAAGTTCTAGATTAATGTCTACAATGACAGGTAGTTTAACCTTTTGAGGATAATAAATCAGTTTTTAGGGACACCATAGGACTTCATTTATGGGTGGAATGGCGCTAGTTGCACAGAAATTCATTTGATGTCGATGTCCCTGCTGCTTTATTCAGCCATTTTGACCATCTTTCAACCACCATTGCACTTAGATGAAGTCTTCGATTCCCTAATTCCGAAGGAAATTGCTAGTGGCAACTTTGTGCCGTATATGGCTGTAACAATATAATTGGCATATTGGATCGGTTGGGATGATTAATTAGGAGATTCTTTATCTGATACAGGGGTATATGTAGGAGACTAGAAGCTTGGTATCTGGGTTCCTTGCATATATAGATTGATGCAATTGTACTTTGCGATGTTAACAGAATAAATTTGCTTACCAAAAGGAAAGATGTGGATCATTAGTACTTTTAAACAAGCAGGATATCTCTCAGCACTCCAGAACTCATCCTTGCATTCGTCATCCTAAAGTATACTGATTACAGGATTTAATGCTGGCAATCTAACTACTGGAAAATGGGATCGAAAACATCGTGTATATATGAAGCAGACAGAGAAAGAGAAGGGGGGTGCTTGTTTATATATTTTTGTATAAAGTATCAGTTGATTTTGACTCGAATATGCCGCTGCACATATAGTCAACAAGAAGCCCCAAAGTTTCCAAATTGAAACTTTATATTACCTAAGTTTCTCAACATGCACGTACATCTGCATTGATGTAAATCCATGCGCATTCGCATGAACATATCAAATTTAAAGCACCCAAGTTGATGGCAGACACGAATCTGAGCCTTTTTTTTAAACTAATTTCACTCTAGGAAGCTCTCGACAGCTTAAGAAGCTACCAGACTGTTGCTGAAGATTATGAGAATTTTATTCCAATCATTTTTTTTTTTGCAATTTTGTGAAGGGAAACAAAGTATCTCTGAAGTCCAGCAAAGTCTAAAATTACAAGAAATTTTTAGAACATCAAAGAGGCATTCACTCCCCAGCCGGTGATGTCGGTGCCTTTTTTTTTTTTTTTTAATTACGCATTTTAAAGCCTTTCGTGAGTGCGTGTTTGTGCAAGTCTGTGCGCCTTTGAAAGGGTCGCTTCAACAAATTGTCAAACATTTTCACTTATCCAAGCAGAATCTTGTACTGGTTAAAAGCCAGGGATAGTTTTGAGATTCTATTATTGTTTCATTGGAATATATACACGACATTTCTGACAACAGATACATTCAACAAAAAGATAAAAGAGAATAGAAAAATTAACCAAATACAAATGAAAATCAGAAAGTTGAGGCTTCCCAAGATTTTTTTTTTTTTTTAAGTCCAACCCCTTTTGTAGTGGCGGAAGAGGTCCTCTGTTTGGGCATTCCTGAAGGCACTGCAGGCAATGATATAGACCCATATCAGTACCACCACTGCCACAATGAGAATTATGTTGGCTTTCCTCCATTCTCTCCTCAGGTTCCCCAACAGACCGGCCTTGCATGAGTTGCAGTTATAGCAAAGTTGGCTCTGGTCATTGCTCCATAGATAGCAGTCAGGATCCCCACTTGGGTTTGCTGGGTTCGTCCACAATGTTGGATTCACAAAAGTGTAGCCACAGATTGTTGGAGGCTTACAACATCCTGACTGTCATACAGAAGAATAAAAAAGACTTCCACTAATCAGAAAACAACAACAAAAAAGGCAAAAGGGCAAAGAGAAATTCACACCTCCCCACTAAACAATGTCCTCATTGTCACGATATATTGTCAAAGCTGGCAACCACAGACTCCATTTATTCTCTTCTGCAAGCAAATTGACTGAAGAGACAAAGCTATTACCTTATGAAAAAGGGACAAACTTTTTAATTGGGCCAAAATCCCATGATTTCATGCTAATAATTCATTTGGTAGGTATTTAATACTTCGTTGGCACAAACTTCTCCGACCCACAAAATGAAATTTGTTGTCGAGCACACAGTATGTGCCTGAGCCTGATTCTTTCTGATGCACTATCAACGGCTATGATATGAGCTATTATGAACATAGAAAAAGGTTGTACTGACAATCTTGTGGATCAAATTTACCGTAAATAAAACATTAAGCCCATAATGGTAGGTCCTACTTTATATCATTAAGGTGAACTGGGCCTGCTTTAGGCCATCAAGTCATGTCCCTTTCCAGCAACCTCGATGAGATCAATGATAATTCAATCGCCTTCTAATAACCATCAAGAAAAGGATCTACTTCCCAATGATCATTGGGAAAATAAGTAAAAAATGGGGGAAAGAAAATTTCTATTATAGGAAAATATAAGGCATCTAAGGAGAAAAAAAAAGCCCAGCATCTACATTGGAAAGACGACTAAATTTTAAAACATTTCTGATTTTTATTCCTTTAAATATTCCTGTCCAAAGATTTCATTGCTAATAAAAAAATAAAAATGTAGTTAATTATGATACAGATTTGAGAAAAAAATCACTTAATAGCCATTGCTTACAACAGATTAAGGGATGAAAATGACATTTCCGTGATTCTGAGCTAGAAAGTAGAGATTAGGTGCTTCTTAGAACTATATTCCCCCAAAGACTTTGCAGCAACCAGTAAGAACGTGACACAATATTTTATCCAATATTCTTTCTCTAAGGAAAGTGAAGATCTAAAGACCAGTTTGGTTATCTGAAAAAATGTTTTTGAGGTAAAATAGCAATGAACATATTCTGTTTAATGGCGTTCTTTGACCACGACCCATGAAAATCTTAAAAGGGTACTGGTACTTTCATCAAAGCATCATGAAAAATTGAGAATATGGCCATAATTGAAAGGTAAAGACTAAAGATCTAAAAAACAGAGCTTTGAACTTACCTGAAGAGGAGAGATATGAGCGGCAAAGAATTGATCAGCGGTGATATATTGTTGAGTCAACTTAGGACAAACATCGGTGTCAGCCAGACAAGCCCTGATCTTATTCCAGCTCTTGGAGTCAACTATGTGGTTTCTAAGCCAGCTCGAATACCCATCAAGCCTATACTCCTTGTATCCTCTTCCAGGAACATCGTAGCTCCCATCAGGCCTTGTAACTATGAATGCAAAGACCAACAAGAAGAGGAGGAGACCAATAAGGATGGCCATGCAGCAGAGATAGAAGGCCAGGAGGGTTTCCTTGTACCAGTAGGCACCGACAAAGCCAGCAAGGGAGACAAGGAGGATGAGGAAGCCAAGGAGAGCGACAGGCCATCGGAAGAGGTTGATGCAGCCGTTGTCAGGCTTGGAAGCTAGCCAGATGCCAGCTGCAATGATGGGGATGGAGCAGAGCAGGGCTACGAAGTTGAGAACTGCTGTTATGTTATTGGCTACTCCCATATTTGGTTGAAGACTTGAAAGGAAGAGAAGAAGAAAGAAAATGAGTTTGGAGAATGGAGAGTATGTTTGAAGATTGGGTTTTTGGTAGTTTTTAACCTGTTTTGGTCTTGGAATGGGGAAATGGTGATTTTGATATTTGTTCACAGGCAGCTACTAACTCTTTTAATGGCTCAGGAATTAGAAACCTGTTGATGGTATTTACGGTGAAAATAAGCTGACCGGTGATTTGAAAGGTGAGTTAGGTTGGCCTGGAGTTACAGTAAAAAAGTATGGTCACGGAGTTTGTTTCTCGAAGTACACTCCAATGTTGAAGTCAAGTAAATATCTTAGGATTGGATGAGCAAAAAGATGAAGTATATGAAAGGCTTGAGAGTGAGGTACTTAGAAAAGTTTATCATGATCATGTTTGAATCTCCTGTTTATTTTATACAAGGGTGTATGGTGATGTCTGACCGATGATACGGGGCTGATAGAGTTAGAATCGATCATAGCCGACGATTATTTTAGGTGGAGTTCGAGAAGAATTTATTTGGGTGAGTGAGATTTAGGCAAGGTAAAAGCAAGTTAGATTTTTGTGAAATGTCATATCGATATGATGTTGGTGGAGGTAATTTCGCGATCTACGTCTGTCGTTTCTATGAGCGAGCTTTCGTGACGACAAAAAATCTGAGTATTCATTTTTTTTTTTAACAATAACATAATATCCAAATCGTGCTGATTTGATGAATACGAGAGTTACATATTGATTGATTGCTTGAGCATAACAAAATCGGTAAACATCTTAATCTTAATTATTTTAAATAATTATTATTAATTTTGTTTTGATATTAAATATCAGTTGATATATTTGAGTTATATTAAAATATAATATATTTAAAATAATTTTTATACAAATTTAATATTAGATAGTATTGATTGATTTCGTTTGTTTTGACTTATGTGATGAATTTGGAGTAACACGTTAATATAAAATATATTTTATAATTTTTAATTTATTTTTTGTTACTTAATTAATTTTAACTTATTAAAAATAAAACTAATAAAATAATCCTTAAAAATTGAATTTTTTTATTTTTTATTGTAACTTTTTTTTTACACTTTATTTTTTTCAAACTAAATCTTATAAATATTTTTTTTAAGAAAATAATTATGCTCTTTTTATAAAGTTTAAGAATTTTAAAGTTAAAATTAAAATTTTTATCTTTTTATTTTTATTTTAATATATTTTTATATGAAATTGAAAAATATTTATTTAAATTTTATATTATCAGATTAAGTATTTTAAAATATAGTGATAAATTAATAATATTATTTATTATACTTTTAAACTTATTTATTTAGGTTTTTAAGATATTATATATTTATTTTACATATTATTAATAATATTATTATTATGTGCAGATTTATATATATTTATTAAATAAAAAATAAAAAATAATATATCAAGATGTCAATATATATATATATATTTAAAAAAAAACCTAAAATATTGTGTGGTACCATGTTAATAACCTTGCCTTAGATTCCCAACCAGATGTGATGTTATGCTACCATGTGCTTTTCTTTTTCAGGAATTAATTTTTTCTTTGGCTTTGATTTTCCATCTTTAAACAGGAAAAGGAGTTAAAATTCAAAATCATGTTCCACCGGCCAAAAGAAAACAAGTTTATGCCTGGCCATTCTTTTTTGGTAAAGATAAAACGTGTCTTCTGTCTCTTTTGACTCTCGCAAATCATAATTTCATCAAATCTTCTGCCATTATGGAATTGGTTAAACATTATTCATTCAACTGAAGCTTGTACCTTAAATTCAATGACAAAACTTTTGTAATTTCTAATGGAGCTATTAAATGCAGTAATAAATTTATAGCTTAATCAGTAAAATTTTACTAAAGTTATCAGCTTTGTATATGGAGACTGGAGTACAATCTAAATCAAGAATCTAAGTCAATTCTTGAACAAATCTCGTCTTAACATTAAGCAAAGTGGAATCTCGGAACTTAAAAATAATGTTTTCTGTTCCCATGCTGCGTACAGCGTATTTACGCTTCGATGCTCTTCCCATGGCGTGGCCGGTTCCCAGTGGGTCCACACTTTGAAAACGCGTTTCTGAAAATAGAACCAAGAAAAAACACTCCAGCTTAGCTACAAGCTCCCAATCACTGCATGCCAAGATGCGACACATGTCAAAAGCATGCTGCACCACGTGTCATTAGTTACTTCTGTCTGTTTACTCAGTTGATAGTTTTCCCGCGTTGTCCCTTTGGCTTCCCATCCGAGAGGACAAAGGACGCCAGAAAACAATGGAGCCATGGGTCCCGTTGTTCGACATTTTCATGAATAGCCCAACACCAGAAACGGAAGCATCTCTTTGGCTGCAGCAATCTTTCAATGCGACGACATCATCATCGTCAACAGCAACTCCAATCACCACGAGCTCCTTTTTTTCCTTACTTATCAAACCCTGCAATTCCATTGTCAAAGGCTCATCTTTATCTTCACCTCCCACAACAAAAAGGTAAACCCAGAATTTTAAGCAAGAAAGTGACTTTCTTTGGTTTTCTTTTTTATTCAGTTTTAGTGACTGATGAATTGAAGTTATTTTTTTTTGTCCCTTAAGGATTTTGTTTATAGAGACTTTACCAGGTATGGTTCAGTCAAGAATATTGTCATTTCTTGCTTTGGAGAATAAGAGATTTAATGGGAAGGAATTATCTAAGTTGGCACGTCATTTATTGAGTGAAAGTCAACAGCTTGATTTTTGGGTCAAGAGAGCAGCACGGAATCTGCTTGATGCAGTGTCTGAACCAAATGTTAATGACTGGGTTTCTGGTTTTAGTTTGGACTCTGGTGAAGAAACAGTAGGTGAAGAGTTTGATTCCTTGCCGGATTGGCTCAAGGACATGGCTGCAGCTAATGATCCGCTTCTCTCTTGGCTTCCTTTATCTGCAGCTGATTTTGTTCCGAGGTTTTGTGATGATAATTTGAAAAATGATGAGGGTTTGTTTAGTCAAGTTGAAGAAAATGGAGAAAATGACTTGAAGGAAGTTGGGGAGGAGATTGAGATGCATCAGGCTCTAAATGTGCCTTTAGAACCTGAAATTGAAAAAGTGGCTGTTAGTTTAAAAGGCAGGGTTTTGAACTTTGAATCTAGTTTAAAAGCTGCAGCTTTAGCGAATGAAATTCGCCAACTTTGCTTGGATAAAGGAAGGAAATCTTTTCAAGTTTTGAGTCTGATTGAGCCTTGGAAAGCAGAAGATGAGACTGCTTCAGTGCTAATTTCTCATCTTTCAAGTGGGGATGAAGAAGAGCTTGCTTGGCCAAGTCAGGTTCTCTGCTCAACTGTGCTTCCCAAGTTTCTGGTTCTACAAGAGCCAGCTTCTCGTCTGCTGGTTACTTCAACAATTGAGTACTGCAAGCTCCATCAGAGGGCTGCTGTGCACGCATTATTGTTTCCACTTGTATTGCGAAGGGAGGGTATCAATAACCTGATCTGTGATATGATTTCTAGGATTGTGAGGGAATGCTTGCACCCAGCTCATGTTTCTGCCTTCTGCCAGAAGCTTCTTTGTGGAGGCCAGGAGGAGAGGAGATTCATCTTGCTTCCATGCCACCAATATCTTGTGTCCAATGAATTGGTATGGACAGATTCATTGTTTAACTTCTTCCAGAACATCTTAAATCATAATGTTCACTTGACTCAGGATTCGGTTGATTGTCTTGTATACCATGTTAGGCAAATGGCGGAAAGATTTTCCAAATCTTTAAAATTTGGAAACTTCGTGTTATGTTTGGTCAGTAAATGTGCTTCACTTCTGAAGTCACATAAGAATGTATTGACTGAAGCAGTTGAGTGCACAAATACTATTGTAACAAAATCCATATTATCAAAATTGGCTAGCTTCTAACTATTTTGTTTAATCTCTTCACTGGAGTCTTATTTTATTATTATTATTATATATATTTTTTGTCATTCTTTTGATGGATATTGTAACTGAGAGTCCGCATATGAGGGCATATAAATGACATGCTTTTTGGATCTCATTTAAAACCTTTTGTTGCTGCTAGGAAAGGATGGGCCACTGATATTAAAACTGTTAAATATTTGTTCACAGTAGCTGTAAGTGCTAGTCTTGGACCTCTTGGTTGTCTGGTATGTAAATTGCAGTTATATTTAGATTTTAGACCACTAACTACTTGACGACATCGACAAAACCGTTATGCAACAGTTACTAATTTGTTATGAGGTATTACAAAAACAGGGAAAAAAATTACTGTCTGTCATCCTAAGATAATCTAGTAATATGATACAAGATGTTTGTAGAATATTTGCAAAATCCTAAATTCCAAGTCTGTGACCTCGCTAGTTCTATTCATAATACAGTGAAGCTGCCTAAGAAAATTCTGCAGGTAGAGGTATGTTCATCACGCAGTTGAAGTTTATGCCAGGAAATATATATATGGATGTATTGGACTCATCTTTCTTTCTTTCTTTTTCCTTTTCTTTCTATTCATGATGGCGTGTTAGTTTCTGAAGTCTACACTTAAAAAGGTAAGTCAACTGAGAAGCTTTGCAAAGAAAAACTTACCTGATTTTTTTTTTTTTTTGATACAAAGGAGGTTGCAATTTGAGGATAAGAGAAAAGGTTACAGGTGTTGGTATTTAAATTTCATATTTACTGAATGCCGCTTCTTACAGATGACTGAAATTTTTAATGTCGAAAAATAAGTGAAATAGCAACTTGCGATTACTTTCGAATGATAACTGGTTTACGGTAAAGTTGGTTGACATATTGGTCAAATAAACTTAATTTTCTAATATTAGGAATCATTATTACTCGGTGTACTTTCCTGATAATCTATGGTATGTTTCTTAATGACTTGTTAGCGGTAGTGGTATCACTGTATCAATTATTAAACTGCTCAACTGGCAGAGCAATGGTGTAGTCTTCTAGAAAATGCCTGAAATAAGAAAACAAGAGAATGGAGGAAGCATTATTATTTTTTTTCTATTGGAATTATAAAAGCACGATCTTCATTGCTTGCAGGAGAAAAAGAAAGTAGCACTTCTTTTAATGTAGGAAAACTAGCAACTAAACTGAAAATATAAGCCAATAGTAAGCAATACAGGGTAACCTAAGTAATCGGCACTCTTTAGACATGAAGATTAGGTTGCCCATTGGCCAATTTCTTCATGGACTCAAATCTTAGACCCTTGTCCGAAAACTTAGTGGTTGAATAAAGCTTCAGGTAATCCTGGAAACGGTAGTGATGGAGGTATAATAGTTTCGGAGCTGGAGAAATAAGAGCATCACCAGCAGGATTGTAAAATGTAGCAATGGAAAGACTGCTTGCAGTCTTTTCTGCCATGACACGATGCAAAACACTTATGTACCTTCTGTTGCTCAATACCTCCACTTGGTCACCTGTGTTCACACAGATGGCGTTGTTCTTGGATGGGGGAACGCGTACCCATTCTCCATCCTTCAGGAATTCAAGGCCAGGGACCTAGTCATCTTGGAGCATGATTATGATCCCACCTGCATCGGTGTGTTCTCGATGTCCTCTCACAAGCTCTGGATTAGGACATTGAGGGTATTTTGCCACTTTTGTCCCCACAGAAGGACCTTTGGTTTCTGAGAAAACTTCCTTTATGTACTCTTTTTCCAAGCCAAGATTCTCACACATGAGCTCAGAAAGCTTTTCTGCAAGTTTAATCAATTTAGCGGTGTATTCATCCATTGTTTTACTGCAAAGCATACATTGTTTTGATTCACCTTCCATGTGTTTACACTATATAAACAACTAAGCAGGTAGTGCATTCCATTAACTCACCAGAGTTCCTCTGATATGTTTTGGATTTCATTGATGTTGGATTTTGGATGATGCCAAATGAAAAAGATGCTTTCCCAGTCCATATTAGAGATAATTTCATTGTTCTTTAAGCTTTTAGCTATCTCAGATTCATAGAAGCTTTCTTGCAAGTTTTCATCATAGTATTCATTCACCAACTGTTTCACCTTCTCCATCAACTTCTTGTCAATTCCATGGTTATCAACCTGCAGATATTGGCAATTTTAGTATCAGAACAAAGCACAAATCACACTTTCAGTTAGAATAGAGAAAAAGTTTTATTCTCTTTACCTGAAAGAAGCCCCATTTCTCAGAAGCTTCCTGCAGAAGTGCCATTGTTTTGCTCCTTTTCTCACCATGGAGTTCATCAAGATCTATCACAGGAATCTCCATCTGTCTTCCTCTTCCTAATCCAGATTGCAAAAGATAAGTAACTTGGAGGACTATTTATAGGCTTGAAGAAGGTGTTTGGGTCACTCACTTTTAGGTAATCATAACATTATTGCAAGGAAAATAATTTGGGCTTCTTGACAAGAAACAGGAAATGATCAATGAAGTCCAAGTTCAAGTTATTACCACCATGTAGTTCAGTGTAGATCTCCTAGTCCATCTCACTGATTTGGTCAATCATGCTGTCTTATGAAGTAAGCATTACTCTACTTTCTTTTATTTTCCTAAGAAAAGACATTCCCCGATTGGATCACTAGCTCCTACTCATTGACATCATGTGCAGTTTCTCTTTTTCTCTCTTTAACTTTCATATTTAAATATATAATATCTCATTTTGTTGGAAACCTGCTTTGATATGAATGGCTGTTTCTTACATTGAACAAAACTAGTGGTGGACCATAAAATAGGTTTCAGACAACCAAAGGGAAAAATGGGGCAGTGTTATATCTCAGGAAGAAATTTAACAATGGGCGCTTCTGAATGCAAGTTTGTAGACATGTTTTGTGTGTTGGTGGGATGAGTAGTGATTTGAAGTTCGTGTGTGAAGGATGGTTTGAATTTGTAGTAGGAAAGTATAGTTAGGAGACGTTGGAGTTGGTTCTTTAGGACGTGTTCCATGCTCAGATCATTCAAGTATTTAAGGTTTTGGTGACAAAAAATGTAAATTGTTAAGAGTACTTTGGAAGATTAAGATAGAAGAATTTTTAGTTTCTATCTAGGTCTTCTTTTTACCTTATAAATTAGAGAAAAAGTGATGATATGATCAAAACAATTGATAATTGATGATAAATTCATGTGAAGTTTGAAGAAAAGTTACATGGATGAGCATTGACTGCATTTAATGATTCTAGCTAAGTATGAATTGTATTTAATAATTTCAGATAAATTGATCTGTTGTGAAATGATATTTTGATAATATGTTAGTAAAGACAGTTGGACAAATTTTTATTTGACGAAAGCAAATTTAGTTTGTGATAAAGAATTTAGATATCAACCTTATTTTATAGTGACATGATAATCAGACATATACTAACTTAATGTTCGTATAAATTGACATTGCTGAATAAGTATGCAAGTGCATAGAAATTGTTTGATTATCATTTTCTTTTGGTTTGTTGGCTTTTGTCATTTATGGCATTATTGGTAGTATGAACTGAATATTCCTGAGTTCTCAACAGGCAATATAGCAAAATGAGTGTAAAGCTTCTTGTTATGATGTTCATAAATCATAACTTCTTATAAATATTGGCATGACTACAAATTTAATGGTACAATATATATATATATATGGTATACCATCCATGTTTAGTCATCTGATGTCATATATATGTATGACTTGCCCATATATGCATGTACATATAAATTTGATAAACAATAGTATATGTATTTTTGTCATACTAAATCTCAATCAGGGTTGATTCAATTGACTGAATTTTTTTTCTCGTTATGAAATATTTAAATTCGAATTTCTTTTATGATTTTATGTTAGTGTTAATCTCAAATGTAACCAATAAAGTTTATTGAAATACATAGTTTATTTTTATTTGGGGTTGGAATAACTTATTTATATTTGAATTTTTTGCAAAATAAAAAAATAATATTAGTAAATTATTGATAATATAAGATTAAAACTTAATTTGAAAGATGTATACAAACGATGTTTGTTTGACAATATAGTTAAGGACGTTTTGAATTTGAAAATGACTTGATCCTAAAGTTCAAATTCAATTGGTGGTCTTTTTTTTGTAATATTGACCTTTAAATTATAATATAATATTTAATATAATATTTTAAATTTAAATTTTTTTGATATAATATTTGAATTATGAATTTATTAATTAAAATAATATTTTTTCCTAACTCGATTAGTTTCAAATAATGATGTGTGATGAATAAATAATTTTTTAAGTATTATCTTAATTAATAAATTTAGAGTTTATTTGTCGTATTAAAAAATTTTAAAATTTAAATATCATGTTAAATATTTTATTATAATTCAATATATAAAACATTAATATTTTTTACTGCCTTCAATATTACTGTTCTCCAATTGATTAACTAATTTGGCTAGAGCATCACTGTTAATAGTTTCCTTTTCATTTGAATAATCATCTTTCATAAAAAAGAAAAAATTCATCCTTACTTTTGAAATAAATAAATTTCATAAAAATAAAAAATTTCATAAAAATAAAAAATTTAATTGCTTTATGTAATTGTATTTAATAGATTTAAAATTTATAATACAACATTGATAAAATATATATTTTTTATTTTTATATTACAATCTCTTTTGTAAAAAAAAAAAATCGAAATGGTATATAAATAATTTAGCTAAAAAACTTAATTATTTAATATTTAACCAAACCTATTGCATTGTTTTAGGTATTATTTAAATAATTTACTAAAATGATTTTAATTATAGAAATCAAAATATTGATTACTATTTTTGGCAACACAAGGATATAGTTAAAATATTAAAAAATATGTTCATCTTAATATTTTAATATCTTTAAAATATAGTTTAAAATTATAATTAAATAGCATCTTAGCATTTGACTTAATTGATTAAAAATAATTAAGATTTTCCTAGCTGTATTAAAAAATAGTGTTCAAATCCCTCTCTAAATTTCTTCAAAAAAAAATCCCTCTCTAAATTACAAATATAATTAAATAAAATATTTTATTAATATTTCACATTGAATCAAACTAAATTCGGGCTTAAAAACCAATGTCGCCCAAACCCGAATTTTATCTGACATAGATTTGGGCGAACGGCCCAACCAATGGGCTTCTGTTAACTATGAGCCCAAACACACTGCACTCTCCCAATAAATTCCAGATTTTCCTCAGGGAGAGTGAGAACCACAGCCCGACCGCTTTGCTTGTGCAATTCCCTGTTTGGAATTCCATTTTTTATGGACATTGACGCATGGGGCAATCTTCAAACAATGGCGTTCTTCACACGCGACATCCTATAGCGCGTAGGAGTAGGATCAACACCTGATATATGCAGTGAAGTATCTCAAGTTGAAGGACTTTTTTGTACTTAAACCTCAATTCCCTCTCGTTCTCTGCAAACCAGAGAAAAGAAAAAGAAAAAGGCGAATGGCGCAAATCCGACACCTGATATATGCGCAAATCCGAAAAAGAAAAAGGCATTGCATGGTGTGCACTCTCAGGTCTCAACTTAGGAATGTGAATAAGTCTTTAAGGCAGTTGGCTGCTGTTAAATTGCAATGTCTGTTTTAGTGTTTAGAGGACCTTAAACATGAAAAAAAAAAAAAAACCGTAGACCAGATATTATTCATTGTTTATTTTAGGATTAGTTATAATTTGGACAATATCAGTTCTAGTTTTCAACTGGGAAAAACTTTTCAGATCAGACCTCACAACCATGCCACTCTCGCAATAAAGATGAGGGCCTTTTTTTTTTCCCCTGGTAATGGCAAGTGAAGTATATTTTGTTGATATAATTTTT